CGCCTAAGTTGCGTGCCACCGCACGCGCCATTCCCCTATCTGAAACTCGTTTGAGTAAGAGTTACAAACACTTCCCTGAAGTTTGTTTGTTCCATCAAGCTACTATGCGTTTTTAACGACACAATGTCTTGGTCCTCATAATTTTGGCCACCCTGTACAGAAGTGTACTACTTATTGACAGACAATTTTCTCTTCGACCTGTTTCGTTTCTTTGTTAATGATTAAACCAAAGGGATCTCATACATCATGAGTGCTACGCCATGTTAAATCGATTTCAAAAAGATTTGGTCTTGGGTGCATCAGAGATATTTCAGGAAAGCGATCCTTTCGCTGAAACGCGCACCAAGACAATCATAGAGCGACAAGCCTCCAAATATGCTGAACGTGCTCGACATCGGGCCATATCTCCGGACAGAATCGATGCATTCAGTAAGTTTAATTACAAGAGGGTGGTGCATTTTTGAATGACTCTAAATTTTAGTTACGCTTCATATTCTGTTTCCAAGGGACGGGATGTAACTTCTGGGGTGGTTATGGATTCTGAGACTGACATCAAAAATAGAAAAGGGAGCCTACTTTGTCCAAGCAATTTAAATGGGATTTCTTACCCGAAAGTGATTTTCTTTTAATCATCTGCAGGTTGCCATTTTGTTGGAAAAAAGTTGTGGTCTTGCGGTGCTAAAGCTTCTCGAAAAGAAATTGCTTTCCATTTATCAAAATCCTGCTTTAGCTGTTTTCACATCTCGAGAAACTCAAGTTGAACAGATCGGCGTAGTTAAAACTTTAATGTTTCCTATTTCAAAAGTTTGATGCCCTGCTGTGAGCTTGTTGACTTCCTCTTGGGAAGGGTTCGATTGATGACATTCCATTTTTTTAATGAGTCAACATTTAGTTGACCAAACACCTGATCAAAGAGACCGTGGATATGCGGAAATTATGAAGGAGCAAAAATACAAGGAAGAGAAGGGAAAGGTTGGTTTCATATTCTTTTCCAAAGTTGTTTTAGGTGCTAACTTAGTTGGGGGGGGGGACCACGCGGCGGCGCGGCGCTCTGTTCGTCTGCTCCTCTAAGGCTTAGTCCAAGGGGCAGTTACTATTTCGTCGCCACGTGGCAGTTTCGAAATACGCGCCATCGGCGGACTAAGCCTTGGAGGAGCAGACGAACAGAGCGCCGCGCCGCCGCGTGGTCCCCCCCCCAACTAAGTTAGCACCTATTTTTGTTCACTAGGATGGGTGGAAAGCAAGATTTTTTGCCATCACTAGGTTTGGTGGCATCCACTCCATAGTGTAACAACCATTTTTAGGTTGAAAAAGAACTCGCAGATCGTCATAAGGCAGGTGATCTACAATCAGTTGCTGCACCTGAACGCAAGAAAGGAAGATGGGACGAGACTCCCAATCGTGAGGTGAGTGAACGGCATTTGGACAGGAAAAAAGATGCTATTTATGTTTCGCTTATGACTAATTGGAAATGCTTTTTCAGGTTCTTGGTGCAGGCTCTGCCACTCCTTCAGATGCAACTCCAGGTGGTGCTCCCCGAAAACGCCTGGGAATATCGAGTATCAGTGCAGATGTAAGGACAAATCAAGACAACTTTCTGCCCATTTAGTGCTAACTCCACGCCGTGTTGTTCGATAAACTTTTCTCTTTCAGGCTGCTACACCACACGTGGCCAGATGGGAGGAAACTCCAGCACACGCTAATGCTACCGATGCGACGCCTTCTATGAATAGGTAGATTCTTCAGCCGTTATTGCTGCTCGGAATGTGAAAAATAAGGGAGCTTTCCAGGTTTGATTCCACTCCATCGACACAAACTCCAAGAAGAAATCGTTGGGATGAAACACCACGTGAGAGTGTTCGTGACGCTGGAGGAATGACTCCAGGCTGGGGAATGGATACTCCCGCTCGTGCAGCAGATGATGTCAAGGTGAGTCAAGTAGCGTGCTTTAGATTTCAGGTCATTGCAACTTCGGACGCTTCTATGCGAACTCCTCTGTTGGAATTCACAATTAACGTTTTAGGTTGAAGACACACCATCGGCCTCAAAACGTCGATCTCGATGGGACTTGACTCCGTCACAAACACCCGCCGTTGGATCAGTGACTCCGCAAGCTGGTGCCGTTACGCCATCTTTCACTCCAAGCCATGGAAGTACACCGGTCAGTTGGCGTAATCGAAACGTTTATTCGGATAGATAATCAGTATTTTAAGCATTTCATCATTTAAGGCTGGAGCGTTGACACCAGGAGGAGCAACTCCGCTTGGAACTCCAGCTATGGTCATGAAGACACCAGCGGTGACTGTACCGATGACGCCAGATCAAATGAAAAACTTTCTCTGGGAGAAGGAACTTGACGACCGGAATCGCTCCCTCACAGACGACGAGTTGGATGCGTTGTTCCCACCTGGATATAAGGTATTTTCCTGATACAAATTTCCATGGTCAAACGTAGAGGTACATGTGTCCATTTTTGACCATTATCGCAGCACATTTTTTTAGATCCTCCCACCTCCAGCGGGTTACATGCCTCTAAGAACTCCTTCACGGAAACTCATGGCAACGCCTACCCCTCTTGGTGGTATTGCAGCTGGTGGATTTTTTATGCAGGGAACGCCGGAAAGGGAAGGACTTGGCGACAGAGGTTGGTAGCAATTACATTCCATGGGTTGATTTGGCATTTCACTAGCAGCTCGACATTCATGTGCCATTATTTGATGTCAAATTTAGGTGTTGGTGGGATTCTCGACACGCAACCGAAGAATCAGGACCTCCCACCGTTAAAGCCTGATGACATGCAGTACTTCGACAAGCTGTTGATGGACGTCGATGAAAGTAATAGTTTCGCAGTCCTTTTTCTTTAGTCGATCTTTCGTGTCGTATTAATGTTTTAATTTTAAGGCACACTAAGCAAGGAAGAGTTGAATGAGCGCGAGATCATGACTCATCTGCTAAAAATCAAGAACGGTTTGCCACCACAGAGAAAAAGTGGATTGAGAAAGGTAGTTCCTTTCAGAGTGAATGTTCGCACTGATCGAGTCTACAAACTCCTCACTTCAGATTACTGAGAATGCTAGAAGATATGGTGCGGGACCGCTTTTCAATCAGATCCTTCCTCTCTTGATGTCTCCCTCATTGGAAGATCAAGAACGCCATTTGATGGTTAAGGTGAGAAAGTTATCTGTTTTAAGTTTTTGATAATTTTTGATAAGAGCACATAAAAGGTATATTGATAGTGTATCAGTTGTCCCAATGTTATGCAGGGCAAGGCTCGACAATCACCTACATTGTTGCCATGTTTGATTGTAAAATGAAGACCCTCTTTTGAGTAATGTCATTTCGTGCTTCTCTCATTTTCCATAGCTCAAGAACAAAGCTAAGGCAGGTAAATGCCTCTCAGTACTTTAAACCGGTACTGTATTCGGCGGCTTCTGGTAGTCAAAACGCATAACCTAAATAAAGTTGAAATCCATAGTCGTAAAACATCCCTTTCAACACCTAATTTTTGAAGTCGTGCGAGATGCTTGCCGAGCCCTGCCATGGGCGCTGCATTATTTTCAATAGAACACAAGTTATTCAATGTTCCTCTTTGCACGTGCGCTTTTAGAGTGACGCGCAGAGCAGAGGGGAATCGTTGCCGATGATTCTCGCACGGTAAGTTACGGTAAGTATTCTCTCAGATGTGCGACACTGGGAGCGACGACGTATCATCAGTCCTTTTTGATTTGTTTTTGTGTAGTTGCATTAGTTTGCTTGAATAATTTTGTAATGTGCTTTTTGAGCTTGGTCACGGATGGAAGTCTACTTTCATTTTTTAGGTCATCGATCGTATACTCTACAAGTTAGATGACCTCGTTCGTCCATACGTTCACAAAATTCTTGTGGTGATTGAGCCTCTTCTCATTGACGAAGATTACTATGCAAGAGTTGAAGGTTTGAATTGAATTGAATCCTTTACTTGCGGGAAACTCATCTTTTTGATGAGTTATTATGGTTCAGAAAGGATGACGGTAACGCTCACAGTCTCATAGTTACAGCTTTGCATGCTTTTTAATTTTGTAGGTCGTGAAATTATATCCAACTTGGCGAAAGCGGCTGGGTTGGCAACTATGATTTCCACAATGAGACCCGATATCGACAACGTCGATGAGTCAGTTTTTCTTTGTTTGAATCTTTTTATTCACTTTCGTGAGGATGCGCTTACAAAGTTAATGAAATCTGTGTGTTTAGGTATGTACGAAACACAACTGCGCGTGCTTTTGCTGTGGTTGCGTCCGCACTTGGTATACCTGCACTGCTTCCTTTCTTGAAAGCTGTTTGTAAGAGCAGAAAGAGTTGGCAAGCAAGACACACTGGTAAATCTCCATGCTACTTGATTTAATCAGCGGCAATTTGATCTTTTCTATAAAGGTATAAAAATTGTGCAACAAATGGCTATACTCATGGGCTGTGCTGTACTCCCACATCTCAAAGCTCTTGGTTGAAATCGTAGAAGGCGGACTCGAAGATGAACAACAGAAGGTAATTATTTGATATGCTTTGAGAAAGTCGTATTAAAATATTTCCTATTCAGGTGCGTACCATCACCGCTTTATGTCTTGCTGCTTTGGCTGAAGCTGCTACTCCATATGGTATCGAAGCCTTTGACTCCGTGCTGAAACCGTTGTGGAAGGTTAGTTACATTCAGTTGTGAAGATATTGCGCTTTTGTTGGTTTAGAATTTTCTTATGAAATTTTTTACAGGGTATTCGTATGCATCGTGGAAAAGGTTTGGCTGCATTCTTAAAAGCAATTGGTTATCTCATCCCACTCATGGACGCTGAATATGCTTCTTATTATACCAAGGAAGTGATGCTTATCCTTATCAGAGAATTTGCTTCGCCTGATGAGGAAATGAAGAAAATTGTACTCAAGGTACGCTTTACTCCCACTATCCAGTTTTTTGTGACGTGAAGAATTTTCTCCATTTCTTTGTTAAGGTGGTGAAACAGTGTTGCGCCACCGATGGTGTTGAAGCACCGTATATTCGCGACGAGATTCTGCCACATTTCTTCAAAGCATTCTGGACGCAGCGTATGGCGATGGACAGGAGGAACTACAGGTGAGCATCTTCGTGATCAAATGATCGATTTCCAATACTTCCCGAAGGATTTCTACCCCGAGAAATAACAGCGAGACTCACGTTGTTGAAATTTTTCGCTTACGCAATTTAGACAACTTGTGGATACCACTGTCGAAATGGCCCAAAAGGTGGGTAGTGCAGAAATGATTGCGAGGATTGTTGACGACCTCAAGGATGAAAATGAGCAATACAGGTAGAAGACGCATTTCCTCAACATCATTCGTTGCGCTTATACTGATTTCTTTGTTCAGGAAAATGGTTATGGAAACCGTGGAAAATATTGTTGCCTTGCAAGGTGCGAACGAAATTGATTCTCGCCTCGAAGAGCAGTTGATTGATGGTTAGTTTTGACTTAGGGCTTCTTGTCCACTTTTCGCTGTGTTTTTATTTGTTTAGTGTGTTGGGAGTAATGCTAGTCCACCTACATGATCTTTACAGGTATTTTATATGCTTTCCAAGAACAAACACAGGAAGATGCTGTTATGCTTGACGGTTTCGGTACGGTGTGTAAAGGCCTGGGAAGGTATGACAGTTCCCAATTTCTCTGCAAAGGGATTCATCTGTTGATATTTCCGTTCCAGGCGAACAAAACCGTACCTCCCACAAATTTGTGGTACCATTTTGTGGCGTCTGAACAACAAATCGGCGAAAGTACGACAGCAAGCTGCAGATCTTGTAAGTCTTCAGCTGCACTGATTTTCTATGCGCACTATTATGGTGAACACATTGTTGCGTTGTAATTTGCTGCCAATTTCAGATTGCACGAGTTGCTCCCGTTATGCACATATGCGAGGAGGAAAAATTGATGGGGCATTTAGGAGTTGTGCTGTACGAATATCTAGGAGAAGAGTACCCTGAGGTATTTTGAAGTGGCGCTGTAATAGTTGTGGTCCGTTTTCTATTGAATAACTGATGTCAGGTACTTGGATCGATTCTTGGTGCGCTGAAATCAATCTGCAATGTGATCGGAATGACAAAAATGACCCCTCCTATCAAGGACCTTTTGCCGAGGTTTGTGCATTATCAAAGAAACGAATGCTAGACGTCATAGTTGGTTGATATCACTGTCTCTGCTACATGGAATATTTTGTCGCATATGCCATCAATTCTTCAGGTTGACTCCAATTCTTAAAAATCGTCACGAGAAGGTACAGGAGAACTGTATTGATTTGGTAGGTGCAATTGCGGATCGCGGCTCAGAATTTGTGTCGGCGCGTGAATGGATGCGGATATGTTTCGAGCTTCTCGAACTGCTCAAAGCTCACAAGAAGAGCATCCGTAGGGCTGCAATAAACACGTTCGGATACATTGCTAAGGTACTTTTTAGTCAGTTGCTAGTTTTGGTCTCGAAAATTCCCATATTCAATCGAAAAATCACTCATATTTTATAGGCAATCGGTCCCCATGACGTCCTTGCCACACTGTTGAATAACTTGAAAGTTCAAGAAAGGCAGCTTCGCGTGTGTACTACGGTAGCGATAGCTATTGTTGCGGAAACATGCGCTCCTTTCACCGTACTTCCAGCAATAATGAACGAGTATCGAGTACCAGAAATGAATGTACAGAATGGAGTACTCAAGGCTTTATCATTTATGTTTGAGGTGAGGACCTTCTGATGGAATCAGGAAGCGCTACTACTTGTTCTACAGTTTTTCAAAACCTACCTCACTGTTAGAATAAAATCTTAGGAAAAGCTGAAGTGCTGTAGGGGAGGAATATGTAGAGGCCTTTAATCATGTTTCCGTTGCAGTATATTGGCGAAATGGCAAAGGATTACATTTATGCAGTAACACCTTTGCTGGTTGACGCCATGATGGAGCGAGATCAAGTGCATAGGCAGATTGCTATTGATGCAGTAGCGCATCTTTCCCTTGGTGGGTGCTTGACATATGTTTTTTTTTACATTCAGAAAATTGAGCAGTTTTAGCAGTCACAATTCAGTTATTTGAATGATCTTTCTCTTGTTTAGGTGTCTACGGTTTCGGTTGTGAAGACGCATTGTTACATTTGCTGAACTACGTCTGGCCTAACATGTTGGAGAACTCTCCCCATCTTATTCAGCGCTATATTTTCGCCTGTGAAGGAATGCGTGTCTCACTTGGTCCTATCAAGGTTTGTCTACACTTTACTTTCAATGAAATTGCATGGGTTCAATTAATCTTAAGGCTGTTTGCATACGTCTCTTATTAGTTCCCTCCATCGATTCCTTTACAGGTCCTCCAATATTGCTTGCAAGCTCTATGGCACCCAGCTCGCAAAGTGAGAGAGCCAGTCTGGAAGGTTTGTTTATTATTTTTGATCTTGAGTGTCGTTTTCAGTCTCTTACTTCATCGTGACTTTACTACCATATACTGAAGTAAGAGGTTTACTTCATTCACTGAGGCTTGCTCTAACGATAAGAACGATGAATATCCCAAAAACTGTTGGGATTCGAAAAACAACTAGAAAACACATTATGCTAAGGTCTTTTGTAATTGCAAAAACGGTAACTCAACTTTGATTGTCCTCTACACCTGCAAGTTATTCTTCATGTGTGAAATGTTTGCACTCCTCTCGTTCTATGGGTGCGCTTAATCGTGGTTTGATATCGCGCTACATGATCGAAGTGTTGACTTGGTTCAAGTCTTCCGGAGCCGTATGCAATACTTGCCCCAGGGACGCGTCTCCCGCATTCGATCCTATTCTCAGCTTTGGGACAGGGTTGCGTCATAGGACCCGTTATTGAACGCGTGATGTGTAGCCACATCCCGCTTGAGGCACTCTTCTGTGAGAGTTGCAACTATCTGAAAGTTCAGAAACGGTAAGTATGGCTGGTCCTATCACACAATCCTGGCTCCCCCAATCACAGGATAAGATCAGCGGCGAGGGATGCGTTCCCTGGGGAATGATAGGATACGGCCCCTGAGCTGCCTAACAACAGCATTGTTGGTGATGACTTACTTTGCATACTTTTTCACACCTTCCCGGCTGCTGGTCCGTCAAAAGTTGCATAGAGACACTGATGGCCATAGTCGGTCGGACGACAGCAACGACTGCTGCTGTCGGACGACAGCAACGACTGCAGGTGTCGCATAAACCGCGGTCGCAAATGGAAGGCGACGCGGTCACCCAATGCAAACCCAGACAACACGTGACTGCGCGTGATCGTATTTCGAAAGTCCCACTGTAGTGTGGAATAGTAGCTGCGTATTGATCTTGCAGTCGTTGCTGTCGTCCGACAGCAGCAGTCGGACGACAGCAACGACTGCAAGTGCCGCAGATCGATACGCACCCAATACTGTGCGACACTTGCAGTCGTTGCTGTCGTCCGACCGACTATGCGTCCGGCCAGAGACATCTAGCGGCCATGAGCTCGTGTTCTGTTTGTCAAAAAATGAGTACTTGAATTGTTCCAGGTATACAACAATTTGATACTCGGCTCACAGGACGCCCTCGTTGCCGGTTATCCACGTATTGAAGACACAGAAAAGCACACATTTGTACGATACGAGTTGGATTACACCCTATAAGAGTTTATTTGTTCACATTGGCGGTGGTCTTGAATAAAATAGGTGAAGCGTGCGAAGAACAATATTGGGTCTTCGTTATTTATCTCCTGTTGTCATATGGGATAGTAGGATGAGGCACGCTACTAAAACAGTAACCAAGTAGTTCCTACCTGGCTTTCTGGAAAGTGCAAAATGTTGCATCTCTGTCTTAATCTATTGTAAATGTTATGACCATTTGTTGATTGCTCCCTCTCCGACGACGACCTGTTATTTGTTTGGCAACAGTTTTCCGGCTACTGGTCGAATGTGGACTGTCTATTTGGATCCTCAGTGATATCGTGTTGTATACAGCCGAATGTGGATTAAATGGAAACTGTATCTATCTCCGTTGCTTGTTGTTTTGTTGAATCCAAGTATTTAATTTTCACTCCAGAGTAATTCGTTGTATGAGTTCATTCGTCGTTGCGGAATGAAGTTCTTAAATTATTATGTTTTATCGTGTTCTATGGTAAGAAATATCCTTGGATGATACTGAACGATTTATTGGGGTAGTCGTGAACCTTATGAGGAGGAAGAACTCAACATCTACCGATAGAATCAAATGCTAGAAATCTTTCTAATGGGTGGAGTTTAGGTTCGTTAGAGCGATGCTGAATGTGAGCAGTCGTGTTCGTAGAAAGTAGGGGCAGCAGTTACTGCCTACTGCTTGTTGGTCTAACCGCCTGGGGACGCTCACCTCATGTTATCAGTACCGATTGGCAGATAGCTGCCAGATGATTATGATACATACTGTGAGTCACTGAGGATTACTGACTACAGGCATAAAAGGAAAAGTTACGCAGACAAGTTCAGTTTGTCACGTGGGTGGTTAGCCTAGGTAAGGTTGTGCAGTTTTTTTTCTGGTTGTGCTGATACCTGTAAAGATTTTAAGTTCGTATCAAAATCGAAAAGAACATAATGGTTTGCAGGAAGAAATAGCATAGGATGTGACTTTGCTCCGCGTAGAGCTTCCCTCAACCAGTGAAGGGAGCCATACGTTCCCTATACGGGCACGAGTAGATCTACACACCACTGATCAATGTCGTTGCTTAAGAGAGGCAGTCCAGGTAAGTATCCATGTGTTTCAATGTTCGCGGGGTGTTTTCTGAGAGAGATACACATGCAAACGACTAACCTTGCGTTATCTTGGGAGACGTTTCAAATACTTTTCGGCAACGAAGTAGTAATGCACGGTCTTCTTACATAAAAGATTCGAACGTTATGATGCCAGAAAGAGTGGAGGAACTAAACAAATTAGGTATAGCGCATCAAAAATTCCTATCTTTTTTCTCACAAGGTTTACAACACCTTCCACGCAAGCACTGAATGGTAGTACCACTCCTTCCCAATATGCTGTGCGGTAATTAAGAACACTAGCGGAGATATCACTCAAGTTTTTTTCTCCATCACTATTTATTGTTACTTATTTTCAGAAGATAAAGGACAACAATGCCAGAAGAATCACAACGTTATAGTGGTGAGTATAAGAACCCCTACATGGGTGTGGTTCGCTAGGACTGAAAGCACTTTTCCGCTCTTCGCAGCTCGTATATGTGTTCGGTGGGCAATTCCAGGTCCCACGTCGGATCAGCGTGGACCTGAGGCCTTCGCAGCGAAAAAAGTTCGCGCTGCGGGAAAGCGCGACAATAACCCGTTTTTCTATCCTTAGCAAACACACACCCGACTTACGTTGCCAAAGCATAATGCATCGAACTGGATTCAATGCAGGTAGGAAATAGCGAAATGGGCAAATTGTTTTCACCTGGAAGTTTCTTTAGTATAGAAACAGTCGATAAAGCTCGCACTCAAATTGTCATCTATGTGGACGAATTCATTGAAAAGGAACTCAAAGTATGTGTCATTAAAAACCTTAACATCATGCAAGTTTTTTAAATTGTGTTTTACAGGAAGTAGTTATATCGGTTGAACGTTCCCTTCTTGGCGAATCTCTTTCAAAGACGTTTACCTCAACAGGCGGTGTGTCAGTTTTAGCTGAAAAGAAGAAGATTGAAGAGGTTATTCCTGCTTCTTTTTCCGAAATCTGAAGCTTTAGTTGGCGTTTCGTTTCTTAATTTTTTGTGTGTAGCTTCACGGGCAGGGTCATGGTTTAGCTTGAGCTTGAGCTACTTGATAGTAATGTGATTCAGGTCACCTTGGATAATATTCAACTAACTTTCAAAGAGTTGTACATGAGCCGAGCAGATATGTGGCGCTATAGATCCAGACTGATAAACACTTGTGCCTATACTCGACAAAACAGGTATTCACTAATATTCCATACTATGACTCTCCATGGTGCGGTTATTACCCTGCTCCATTTTCTGGAACTTTTGATTGCTCTTGATCCGCCGCTTTTCTCAATCCGTTCCCTTTCGATTATTATTTTTTTTTTATTAAGCTCCGACACTTCAATATCAGCACCAAAATCTCTGATATGTGGCAAAAGGGTAACGTCGTTCGTAGCGGTTTTGCGTTTCGTCAGACACTCGCGTAGTGTTTCGTTCAAGTAGTTAGTGCAGTAAAAGTTATACATTTGTACGCTATTTTTGTTTTTAACTTTTAACCTAAAATAGTCCTTTGATGTCAGCGTTCTTATATACATCCAAATGAGTTCAGAAATGTGGCAGCTGGATCCTCAGGGTGACCTTTATTTTGAAAAATGTGTCAAAGGTAAATTGCTTCAGTAAGCTATTCCAGTATATTTATTAGCCTCTGTGCTTGGTCTATCCTGGCACCGCAGCTAGTTCGATATTTCAGGGTTTATGGCGGAACTGTTCTCGAAGTGGTATCTAAACTCTAGCGCCCACTATGTTTCCATCATTCTGTGCTCTCGATTTTATCTTCTGGGTGAGCCTGACAAAGAGGTTGAAGAGCTGCTTGGCCCCACTGCTCGTGATCATCGGGGACGTTATTTTCAGGTGAGTTTAAGCTTTTCTTGTGTAGGGCAAACGTTAGTTCACCAGATTTTCACCGTAATCGCGAGATCCTTTCTTTCTTGTAGTTGCTGTAGTTATTTTAGGACTTCTATCGTCTTTTGGTCCAAAATGAACACTATGAAGATTGGAGCCACGTTCTTTCAACGGTATGTTCTTATGAATTCAGATCAGCTCAAGTTCAATAAGTCCATCACAAAGGGCCATTTCCTTTGAAGACGTTGTTATTTTCTCTGGTAGTACAGCTGCTGCTCTTTACCTTTAGCAATAATTATCGCGAAATGAACATATTCAAATCTTTGCTTGATTGCTTGCCTCTTTTCTTGTGATAGTACCATTCACTATTTCGCTTTTGCGAAATAACACACATTTGAAGGATAAGGGCGAATAGCAGCGCCAGTGTTCCAATTGTTGATGAGTTTTTTTTACGTTTGTTTTAGATAAAACTATCATTCAACAAATACCAGGACACGATACAAGAAGTGTTGGCCGCCAATTACCCCAGCCTGAAGTACACATTCTATCTTTCCTTTGTGATGAGGGAATTTTTGCAAAATTTGCGTGTTCAGAGGAAGGTGGGAAATCTCAACAGCCGCTGATGGCAACTTTCTGCAAGTGCTGAATATGAGCATGAACTCGTTCAATGTTTATCATACAGATAGGAGGTTTGAGACAACTGGTCAACAGGTGATAGTTTCGGCCAATTTCCTCAGCATTTTGTTTGATTAGTTCTGATCTACGCAAGGGATGCGTTTTTTATAACAATATTTGCGGTGCAATTTTCATGTTCTTTTCAGATCATCTTTGTGACTCCTGGTGGTGGTGTCTTAAATGTGGATCGAGAGATGGTGAACATGACAAAGCAGCGAATCATTGATATGGGCATTTCACTCGATATGGTAATCACTGAGTGGCTCATTGGAACAAATTCACTTACTCATTTGTTCTAGGTGTGTTTGGGAGAGCAACCATTGCACGCGGTACCACTGTTTGTGTTTCATAATCGCTGGACGTCGTCTCAACCGTTTGAAGACTATTTTATTCCGCATTGGATGAATTACTCTTATTATCGGATGAGCAAACGAAGTGCCATATCGATCAACTTTCGCCCACGTATTAATCTGCCCAATGTGATGTTGGTGAGTATTTCGGAAGCTAGCGTAACCAAAGCAAAGAAGTTCCTGGCGAATGCTTTTCGTGTTATTGACGGAATAGTGAGAAGAACCTCTGAGTGAATTGGTTAAGTGAGACCTTCTATGTCAAGATGAGAACGTAAAAATTACATCTTTCAAGTATAGAACTTATCACGCCACTAACCAGGAAGGTCTTTCAGGGCGTGCCAAGCTTTTTGAAAACGGTCTTTTGCATGGGGCAGATGCGGGAACCACAGAACCATGTTAATTTTTCCTGAACGGCCCTCTGAATACCAGAAAAGGGGTCCCTAGTTCGATTCCTCGTGGTGACAAATTTTTGCATTTCGAGTTGACGTTTCAAAATTCGCAAAATGGAGTTAGCATGAACAATGAATGCCATATTCATGATTAGGACATGAACAATGAATGCCATATAAATAATAGGACCATCAGTAACTTAACAAATGGACTTTGGTTTAAAACTGGTGGAAAAGTTGTTAAGACAGTTAAAACGCCAAAGTGGGGCCGATTTGAAGTCAGTTATGGTTGTTTGTTGTGGCAGTTTTCAAACCAAAGTCTATTTGTAAGGGTTACTGACGTCCCAATCATGAATATGGTACTAATTGTTCATGCTAACTCCATTTTGCGCGAATTTTGAAACGTCAACTCGAAATGCAAAAATTTGTCACCACGAGGAAT